ATTACGCTTTTATAATTATTAGTTGTAAAATGGTCACCAGGTAATATTATCGCTTATCGCAATAATTCGTGAGACAATTAATCGCCCAGCAAAATTTGTTATCGTGACAGGCCTATACAGGACTGCTTTTTTCCCCTTTTTTCACATCATGTCACCTGCCTGGGTCTGTTACTATCTCACTCTGAAGCACGGAGGAGTGTCACAGTTGAGCTCGTTTCAAATGTTTTTTACGACGTGGTCTCATTTCTGGACTCAGGCATTTTGTGAATGAAGCCGATATTTCAGTTAAAATACATAAGTAAAAATATTTATCCGAGTATAGTACTACCCGCTTACGTTATGGATGATTTTATGGATTTAATTTTACTTATTATACTTGAATAAATATGGTAAGTCAAGTTAAAGGTGTGGTTATAAAATCAGTTTTCAAAACATTACGTTTTGGCTATCCATACATAACAGTGGCAGTTCAAGGTTTTTCCATCTGGAAACCTCCTCATTTTTATTTTAYTTTTTTGGTAAAATACATTTAGAGGCTCCTAAAATGCTTTTTCACTGTGGACGCAAGGCTAAAACATTACAACCTGTTCCCATGAAGAGGAGAACATAGTCTAATGATAACATCTGAGCAGTGAGAGCTTCTGTTCTCGACACTGGATGAAGACCATGCTGTTAGAGCGAGCAGTGTTTGATGCAGCAGCCAGCCTAAGCTCAGGACAGGTCTAGTTTGAGGTTCAGGGAGCAGATGGAGGCACCACATGGAAGCCATGCATTCAAAGAGCCACAAGCAGGAGCAAATTAAYGGTCCATCGATGAACGGGCAGGAGGCTTATGGAAAAAAGGGCGGTGCAGGAAGAGAGGAGGCTGCATTGTGCTAAAATCTTTAACTGCACTGTGCTGCCAAATACAGAACAACTGATCAGAATCTAAAAGTTTAATTAATCTGAAAGTACAAAATACTGGCTCCAGTAAAAACTGCAACCCAGAATATGCAGCACATCATGAGAAAAGGAAAATGAATCCTCATTTATTTATCTAAAAAAGTCTCCTCCTGCTGAGGAAGTCACAAAGCAATCTGTGTTTTCAAATAATGCTGAGCTGGAAAGAGTTGGATTCTGCTGCCATCTGGTCAGAACCACAGGAGACGTGGATATGAGCCAACACTTAGGTAGCTCATTCTGCTAAATGTTGACTCAAACTGCAGCATCTTCCTGGACAAAAATATTATTATGCCCTTAATTTATCCCTGAACAATTTATTTAAAATCTCTTAAAGCTGATCACACCATCATATATGTCCTGTGTCGTCTTTGTCTTAACCTGAAGACAAATTAATTTATGGAGAATTCATTGTAGCAGGAATTTTAACACCAAATGCAAACAAAAGGAGAACTGCTAATAGATCTCATGCATGCTCTGAGCATTTGCAAGTCTTTTCAGTTAACAGCTACACCTCCTTACTAATCAGCTTCACCTGTGTAGAAAACAGTTATAAATAAAATGTTCATATTTTCAGCGTCCTGTGTTCTGTGATTAACAGCTCGTGTCAGCAAACAGTTTAGTAAAAGAGGCTACCTAAAATCGATGTGATCAGTGATTAAAGCTGTAACAAATACAAATATGTTCACACCAACACCAAAATCCCTGTAAAATGAACCGAATAAACGTCAGTAAAAAGGGTCTAATCTCAGAGCTGAAATTAGTTAACTGAAAAGACATTAGCAAACACTTCACCGTGCAAAACAACAAGACTGAGTTCACCTCAGCAGGCTTTTTAAAGATTGGTACAAACCTTCAGGGCAATTTTGACTCTTTTAATCTTTTTGACATTTTCAATTGTCTTTTTTTGCCGTTAAAAAGCGCAACAGAAGCAGGTTGGAAAAACAAAACAAAAAAGGCGTTAGAGTCTGACAGCTGACAAGAAGGCCTATTTAGCATAACAGTGCAGAAAAATAATTGAAAAAAGGAAAGGTGCTTAAAGTTACACTGAAAACATAGATCTTTAAACAAGAGCACAACATGTGCATGCAGTGAAACAAATGTGAAGGAGAGTCACTCACCGGATTCAGAGTGTTACACTGATCTATAGGGTTCTTGTAGTCAGTCTTCAGCTCATCAAATGCAATTATCTGCAAACAGAAATAAAAAGATACGTTTAAATATATGCAGCATTTGTATTGTATTGTACAGTATGGGGGGGATTTATACATTTTGGGGGGATTATTACTTATGAGCAAAACTACAGGTTTTATCTTGTGTTAACCAACAGAAAACCTATCAGATTAATGTGCTGTTTTCATTCTCCTCCTCCAGCATCTCTTTCAAAACACAGAACCAATAAATGGATGAACAGCAGGTAACGTGTCGACGTTCCCCGTCAGTTCAGAGGCCACCACCAGAGACGCTCTCTTACCTCACATCTTTTACAGTCACGTGCACTTTCAGAGAACGAGGAGTGGAACATCCTATCAGCTGCTCTGATGTCTGCATCAAGAGTTGCTGAGTAACTCTTGCCTCTTTATTATGTTGCAGAGGTCAAAATACATCCAAGTACATCTTTTTAGGATTTTAAGTTTCAAAATAATCTGACACTTATAATGAKTGTATCTGCACAGCTGCATACTTTCAGCCAGTCTCTGGGCCAAGAAAATTTGTATTTTCAGTTGCAGGCTGAGTCATTTCTACCTTCTCCTCTCTGTCAACGCTCTCTGGTTTCATTTAAAAGAGTCGATCATCAGATATTGTCCAAGAT